GCCGGGCACGTTCCCGAGAGCCCTGGGCCCGGGGAAGGGGCGCGGGAGCCGAGCGGAGGCAGCACGGCGGCCGGCCCCACGGGGAGCCCAAGGCGCACGGCTTTCTCATGCAAAGCGCGCGGGGCGGGGCGGCACGGCGCGGGGCGGGGCCTGCGGCGCCACTCTTTTCCCCTTTGCCCGCGCGCCCAGGCTCATCCCGGGACGCGGACCTCGTCACGGCTGCGGCGGGGCCCGCGAGGCCGTGGGCGCAGTGTGCGGGCCGGGCCACCGGGCGCCCGCGCCGCCCGCCCCTCCGTCTGCAGCCGCGCGCGCCACCGGGAAGAGGCCAAAGTTTGCTGCGGCGGCGGCGGTGGCGGCAGGAGTCGGAGCCGCGCCGCGCCCGCCGCCTGCCGCTCGGTATTGTCTGCAAACTTCCCTCCCCTCCCCCGCGCCCTCGCGCAGCGCCGGCCGGACGGGCATGGGCGGGGGACCGCGCCGGGGCGCCGGGCCGGGGCGCGCAGCAGCCGGAGCGCGCGGGCCGCGGTGGTGAGCGGCGCGGACGTCCCCGCGGGGCGCCCCGGACCCCGCCATGCCTCGCCCCGCGCCCCGCCTGTGGCTCGCGCTGCACGTCCTGGGCTCGTGCGCCGCCATCGGCTCGGTGGACTTGGAGCGCGCGAGTGACGGCCAGTGCCAGCCCATCGAGATCCCCATGTGCAAGGACATCGGCTACAACCGCACGCGCATGCCGAACCTGATGGGCCACGAGAACCAGCGCGAGGCGGCCATCCGGCTGCACGAGTTCGCGCCGCTGGTGGAGTACGGCTGCCACGGCCACCTGCGCTTCTTCCTGTGCTCGCTCTACGCGCCCATGTGCACCGAGCAGGTCTCCGCGCCCATCCCCGCCTGTCGCGTCATGTGCGAGCAGGCCCGGCTGAAGTGCGCGCCCATCATGGAGCAGTTCCACTTCAGGTGGCCCGACTCGCTGGACTGCGGCCGGCTCCCGAGCCAGAATGACCCCAACTACCTGTGCATGGAGGCTCCCAGCAATGGCTCGGACGAGCCCACTCGTGGTGCCGGCCTCTTCCCGCCGCTCTTCCGGCCGCAGCGGCCCCCCGGCGCGCACGAGCACCCGGCTCAGGACGGGGCCCCGGGGCGCGTGGGCTGTGACAACCCGGGCAAGTTCCACCACGTGGAGAAGAGCGCGTCGTGCGCGCCGCTCTGCATGCCCGGCGTGGACGTGTACTGGAGCCGCGCAGACAAGCGCTTCGCCGTGGTCTGGCTGGCCGTGTGGTCTCTGCTCTGCTTCTTCTCCAGCTCCTTCACCGTGCTCACCTTCCTCATCGACCCCGCGCGCTTCAGGTACCCCGAGCGCCCCATCATCTTCCTGTCCATGTGCTACTGCGTGTACTCCGTGGGCTACATCATCCGCCTCTTCGCGGGCGCGGAGAGTATCGCCTGCGACCGGGACAGCGGCCAGCTGTACGTCATCCAGGAGGGGCTGGAGAGCACGGGCTGCACGCTGGTCTTCCTAGTGCTCTACTACTTCGGCATGGCCAGCTCGCTCTGGTGGGTGGTCCTCACGCTCACCTGGTTCCTGGCCGCCGGCAGGAAGTGGGGCCACGAGGCCATCGAGGCCAGTAGCAGCTACTTCCACCTGGCGGCGTGGGCCATCCCCGCTGTAAAGACCATCCTCATCCTGCTGATGCGCAGGGTGGCGGGTGACGAGCTCACGGGCGTGTGCTACGTGGGCAGCATGGACATGAATGCCCTCGCGGGCTTCGTGCTGGTGCCGCTGGTCTGCTACCTGGTCATCGGCACATCCTTCATTCTGTCGGGCTTCGTGGCCCTGTTCCACATCCGCAGGGTGATGAAGACGGGCGGGGAGAACACGGACAAGCTGGAGAAGCTCATGGTGCGCATCGGGGTGTTCTCCGTGCTGTACACTGTGCCGGCCACCTGTGTGATTGCCTGCTACTTCTACGAGTGCCTCAACATGGAGCACTGGAAAGCGCTGGCAGCGCAGCACAGGTGCCGCGTGGACAGCCAGACCAAGACGCTGGACTGCCTGCTGGCCACCTCCATCCCCACGGTGGAGATCTTCATGGTCAAGGCTTCCATGCTGCTGGTGGTGGGCATCACCAGCGGGGTGTGGATCTGGACCTCCAAGACCCTGCAGTCCTGGCAGCAGGTATGCAGCCGCAGGCTGAAGAGGGAGAGCCGCAGGAAACCCGCCAGCATCATCGCCAGCGGGGGTATTTACCAGAAAGCCCAGCACCCCCAAAAGCCGCACCTGGGGAAGTTCGAGCTCCCCGTACAACCGCCCGTCTGCGTGTGAGGGGAGAGGGCAGGGATGGGGCAGGCGGAGCCCACGCTGAGGACTTGGCTTGTTTTTTAAAAATAAAAGTTTAAAAACATATAAAGAAATAAAAATTGTTCACCCTGACATTCAGGATGCCGCGGTGGTCGGAAAGCAAGAAGTGTACTTGCAAGGTTTTGTTTTGCTTGGTTTTCAGGGCTGGGGCTCCTCATCCACGGCCTCCTGTAGCTCATTTGGGGTGAACTGTGGGATCAGTTCGGAAGAGCCCTTTCCAGACTGTCGCCAGTGTGCATCGGTGTGCTGGGCGGCCTGGCGACCCATGTACACATGAGGCCCCATAAGCGCTTCCCTTGGGGAAGCAGAGCCTTCCCACCCCCACCCCCGGGGCTGCTGTTTGTCACAGTGCGCAGGGACCGAAGGGGCCCTGGGAGCCTTCACACTCCAGTGACTCAGGCCCGGCCCGTAGAACAGACTCCAGCCTTGCACCAGGCCTCTCTCCGAGCTGGAAACCTCCCCTGAACCTCACATCTGTGGCCCTGAAAGATGTGCAATACATTTTTCTTCTCTTTCTGTGAAAATAAGAGAAACAAGTATTTTGCTGTATGTAAGGACAACAAAAGAACTCTCCTAACAAAAGAACTGAGAGGCCCGTCCTCAGAAACCCTTTAGCGTTACATTTTGTGGCTTTTAATGGAAACCAAGCCAGTATTCTACATGTTTGGACTGATTTGTGGAAAGGAGGGAAAGGGGAGAAGGATCATTCAGAAGTACCCAAAGGGCTTATTGACTCTTGCTATTGTTAAACAAATGATTTCCATGAATAGATGAAGAAGCCCTAGGCCAGAAAGACAAACTTTGTCTAGCACATTCTCTTCACCAGACCAGGAAGAGTGGCCCCGCCTGTGTATATTTGTAATATATGATATTTTTCATGCACCACTATTTTATTAAAAATAAAAGATGCTCTTTAGTTTGCCACTAGTCCCTGTGTGCTGTGAGGTTTCCCTTCTCCCTGTGGGGAGGGCAAGAGAGCATTCATCTCTCTGACTTCAGGCACATCCTGGGTGTGCTCCCCAGTGAGATTTCTGGTGGTCTGCCTGGGACGTTGCAGATAGGCAGTTTCAAGCCTGGCAGAGTCCTTGAGCTCTAGAGCTTATGTGCAGGCAGTGTGAGGCCAGAAGCCGATTCTGTGATGCTTGGTAGCTAGACAGAGGGCCGAGGGGCAGATGCGTCTTTGGGGACAGCCCAGGTGACCCGCCCTGTGGGCGCCCACCAGTCTGGGTTCACCTGTGGTGGGCTCTGTGCAGAGTGGAGCAGGCCAGTGAGGAGAATGAAGTCCAGCAGTCGTGTTCAGCTGACCTGCAGGTCAGTGACACCTAGGCAGCAGGTGGGTGAGTGTCCAGAGCAGCTCTGTGTGGGGACAAGTGCACAAACCAGGCTGCAGATCTGGACAGGATGAGCACTCTGCAAAGGGGCTGTCAGCGTGGGAAAGGTGGGCAGCGGGGGTGTCGCGGTGCTTGGTCCCTGTCGAGTCCACCAGTGGAGCTGGCGGCTTCGAGACCTGGGGGAGGCCTGGGTCCACCCAGGAGGCCCCAAGCACAGCCCTGCTGCGTGTGGGGGACACGGCATGACCCCGCTGTCCACTGGTCATGCCCTGCATGCCGCCGTCCCTCTTAGCACTTCCAGCGTTCATCAAACACTTAGCAAACACGCAGTAGCTGTGCAGAGGGTGATCTGGGCCCCTCAGCTGGCCGTGGCCAGGTGCAGGTCAGTGGAGTCGGGCCGGGTCTCCAGGATGTAGGTGCTCACGGCCAGCTGGAGCGGGCAGCTGGGGCTGAAGTTCCAGAATGCGGAATGGCTTCAGTGCATCAAAACAGTGGATAAAGGTTTTCAGGGGCTCACAGTAAAAACCTGTTTGCCGATGGCTTCCACCCAGACCCCGACACTGCTCTACAGAAATGCTCGCAGATGTGTGCAGGGTGTGTGTAGCGTTCCCTTTTGGTGAGTTTCAGGACATTGAACAACACGTGTGGTGTGGAGCTCCCTGAGGTCCAGAAGGGTAACATTGGCAGTGCTATCTCGAGCCCGCAGGCCTGGCAGGACCCAGGGCTTCCGGTTCACCAGCCACCCCGGGGACCCATGCTTGGGGGTGCAGGCTTTAAGCCCAGTCCTAAGGAAAGGCTTGTTCCGTGATGAGCATGGGACTTCGTGCAGCACCGAATAAGTGTGGTGGTGTGGTTGCATCCCAGAACAACAGGGTCCTTATCTGCAGATCCAGGGACGTGGACAGGTGGCCGGGCCAGGTGAGACCTGTCATGGTGACCAGGTGCCAGCTGTTTCAGAGCTTAAGGGCTGCACTTTCTCTCCCTCTCCTAGCTGAGAGTCCTAGGTCAGCAGCAGAATTTTAGGCAAGTGTCAAGGCTTAAAAGTTAGACAGCTCAAAGACACGCACATGCACACACATACATAGCCAGCCCTTGGACTCTTGAGCTGCACGCAGCATTGGCGAAGAATCACTGGTTGCCTTACTGTGCACACTGCTGGCCCTGAGTCCTGCTACTTTCGCTCCAGGAAACGACATGTTCTGGGCAGCAGGTGTGAGCAGTGAAGTCGGAGCCAGAAGCAGCCCAGAGGAGAAGGTGGCTGCCCAGGGTCACCCCTCACCCCTTCTTTCCTGCGGGCTGGCCCAGGAGCCAAGCAGCATGTGCTGTGTGGGCAGGAGGTACCCCAAGGGTGGAGCAGGACCCCTGCTGTGGCTGGAGTTGCATGCAGGGCTGGGGACCCGGGCGGCGAGGTTGCAGGCTCAGTGGACCTGGGGGCAGAGGTGATAAGAAGGCTCCAGGCAGACCCAGCCACAGTGACAGCCTGCATGCCATGACTGGGCCGACCTCACTCGGCTCTATCAGAACTCCTCAGTGAGCTTTCTGAGCAGCACTTCACTGGTGGAGACCTGCTGCCTGGAGAGAGTGCTCAGATCCCCAGGCCTGCACCACAAGTGAAAGCTAGAAGCAGCCTGGTGCAGCCTGTGCCTGTAATAGGAGACAGCTGTGGCGGCTGCGCCCTGACCCGATGTCTTCCCAGGCCCTGCACTCGAGGCAGCACTGGCAGCCAGTGGGGAGCCTCGGTGAGGCCAGGCCATGCGGCTCCTAACCCACAACCCTCTGCCCCTGGACTCTGCCCTCCCCATGTTGGAAGGGCCTGATGGAGATGAAGTCATTTCATTTTCCTTGAAGGTGGGCAAAGGGCAGGTGCCCAGGGCCAGGGTGGGCAAGCAGAAGCAGCTCCAAGGCCGCTGCCGGAGGAGGGGGGTCGATGGGCACCAGGGTGTGGAAAGCCGTTGGAGCTGGAGGCCAAGCCGTGGGGAGGGCAGGAGGGTCAGGTGGACCTCGTGGGACCGCGACAAAGGTCGGACAGCGTCTCACCTGAGCGACGGGGGATGGAGGACACTGCGGCCCTAGTCCCGTCCGAAGTCAAGACCGGGAAACAGCGGGGTTGCACAGGCGGTGACAGGCAGTCTGGGAACCAACCCTTGCCCCTGCCCAGCCTCGTGGGCTCCTCTGCTTCTACCAGTGTCCTAGGAGTGGGGCAGGTGACTAAACCACTGCATCTGTGTGAAGCGCTGGGCCACTGCTGCTGCTCCTTGGAGCAAATGACAGCTCAGCAGGGCCCGCTGTTTATCGCCCTCCCCCCCAAGAGGCCCGGCCCTGGCGCTAATGAGGCCTGATCTCCGAGGAGAAGGAGGCTTTTTCCTTACAGAAACCCTTTTTCCAACATTGTGTTCAGTTTCAGAGGATGCCCGCTGATCTTTCAAGTGTAAAAGGCGGGCACAGTGCCTCCCGGCAGTGGAAAGACTCTGTGCTCCTCCTCTTTGAACACGACCACATCACAGCCGGCGTCCCGGGCACTAGGCCACACCACAGCCAGCACCACACACACGGCCCGGACAGCTGCGGGGAGCGGAGCGGCCAGGCTTCGGGGAAGGGGCTCTGCGGCGGCCTGGGGCGGGAGTTTTTAATGTTTCATTAAGAGTGTGAAGGCCAAGCTGGAGGGTGGAGGCAAAGAGGCGTTTGAAATCTGTGAAGAATGAGTTTCAGCCGTGAGTGCGCTGTCGCATAATTGGGGACATCCACGGGAGTGGGACATGCTCGGAGCCCACACAGCACCCCAGCAGCCCACTGAACACTGGAGCGTCGCTGAGCTCTGCCTGGTCATTAGAAGACTGCCTTAACTAAAGAGAAAATCAAGGAGGGGGCACCAGTATGTCCTGCAGGCGGCTTGGGAATCTGTGGAGGGTGGGGGAGTCTCCGTGTCACCTCAACCAGCTCCCAGCCCTCAGGGTCCCAGCGGTCTGCACACAGGGTGGGAGGGCTCTGCAGATGCCCCCAAAGGAGAGCTTTGCAGCCTTGGAGAGAATATTCACACTTTTAAAAAACCCCTGAAAGCCTCTGCTGGCAGTGTTTTCAGTATTTCGGGCACAAGTACAAAGTCTCCGCCCTGACAGGTTGAGGCAGTGTGGGGCTGGACTGTGGCTGCAGTGGGCGGGCCCAGTCCTGCTTTGATCTTAGGCTGTTCGGATGTAGGTGGGCCTCGCGCCCCTCCCTGCCCCAGGGCGGTGGCGGCACCTGTTTCTGTCCCTGGCTTCCGCACCCAGTGGCCTCTCCAGAGCTCTTGGACCGTTGGCCTTGAGGACATGGCCAGCAGCTGTCGCCTGGCTGTGCAGTTTTCTCTCCTAAAGGGGTAAACAGCGTCCTCTTCCACAGGTGGCCTGGGCGAGCTCTGTGCAGATCTGGTGGCTCTGGCCTGTTGTCCTGATGACCCAGGGCCAAGGGGACAGAACGCAGTGCAGGGTTAGACACAGGCTGACGATCTCTGGCTCCAGGGCACGCAGAGCCAGCCGCACTGGTCCCAGACAATGAACCCAATCACCAAGCAAGGTGATCCCACTGGACTAGGGGTGCAGAAGGGCCCCAGATTGGTTCATGAGATAGGAGGAGTCCTTCAGGTAGGCCAAAAGGAAGTGAAGGAAGGGCCTAGAAAAGATTTTGCTTCGTGATAAAAAGACAGATGGTAAGGAAGCCTGTCTTTTTCCTGTGTAGATGTGGAGTGGCTGCAACTATTTTGTTACCATGAGGCAATAGCCTAATATTAAAACTCAAAGTCTAAGATGACAGGTACAAATCAAGTTCGGCCCTCTTTGTAGTAATGACCCTATGAAGCTTCTACACTCCCACTTCTTGTGCAAGGTAATTAGCTGCCTGCATTTCCTGAGTGTCAACAGACTAGGCGTCCTCTGACTCTTAGGAAAGCGTATCTGAGAGAGTCAACTGGCTCAGGCTTCCCAACCCTAATGTGCACGCAGATTGCTGGGGACCCTTGCTAAATCACAGGCACCGATTCAGGGGTTCAGGTCTGCGTGTGCAGCACGCTCCCCTGTGGTGCTGACTGTGCACATCCTTGTCACCTGGGTTCATCAAAGCCAGAGTCTGCTGCTGAGGGCTGTTTCCTCCCTGAGCCTCATTTGCTGAACGTCTAGCTCAGCCCTGTGCAGAAACCCTCATACACGCGGAGCTGGGTATTTCCGATACTTAAGACTGTTGCCAAGTGGCTGAGCAATCCTGCTGATGGCTGGGTCTCCCGGGTGCCTCTTTCCAGGTCCTCGGTGTCTGGGACAAAGAATTGGACAAGAGATACAGAAAAAGCAGCGAGGGGTAGATTTACTACTGAGGGTGGAAAAAAGATGCTCTATGGGGCAAGAGCCAAGAATAAAGGGAAAGAGGTCTTTAGGGTCCAAAATGTCTGTATTGGCCCCTAGCTCGTGTAAATATGGCATGGTCCAATCAAAACTCACTTCCTGCCACATGCAAGTTGTCCTCTCACCAGACGTAAATGAAGGATCAGAACAATGTCTTTTGATTGGTTGTGCCCATATGGCTGAGAAC